TAAGTGTAAAGTGAAAAAAATTAATTCGAAGTTGCTTCCCGCGGCCGCTGGGCGTAAGTTGTTCCGCATGTAAGTTGAAGGTGTGCGCGGCGCTTCGCGCAGCGGAGTTTACTAATTTAACTCCAGAACAGTAAGCTGGACCTCAGGTAGGTTAATGTAGACGACCTCCTAATTACTAATCTAACTCCAGAACGGTAAGTTGGACCACAGGTAAGTTGAAGTAAATTTCAATTTTTCGGGAAATTCAAGAAACCTGCAATTTGATAATTGGGTTTTCCCCCAATAAGTTAAACGATAATACAGATTAGGAAAATCTACAGATCTAAACCAACAATACTTCTAAATACAATAAAATAAAAATGCATTGAGGATTTACTAAAGTATATTCCACTGCGATTCCTAATTCCCCACCCATAAAGCCCTATAAGAAGCGTTTTCGTAGGAAAACATGCAAGGAGTAGGGATTGATGAGTGGGCTTACATAAGCTACTGTTGCAGGTGAGAGGATTAGACTTGATCGCTGGGACAAGAATCTTACGCACCAAACGCTTCGGGTTCCATTGTTTATCCATCCTCGGAGACAATACCGGGAACGGGTAATAACTACGCAGGGATTTGCAGTACTTATGGGATACAGTTGCTATGCCACTGCATACCTATGAAAATTAATGCCCCATCTCCCCCTTATTAAGGATAGCTGCCCGCTTGTGCGCTAATTGCTTGATGGTCGGCATGCGATCATGACCTGCTGACCTTTCAGCACCGGCGTTAGATTTAAGCGTGATGGTTGCTCCCTGATGCCAACGTTATAAGACGCGTTAACCTGTGCGCGCCCCGATTGGTGAGGTGTTGGGCAGGCCATTACACCTGTTTTTAGACTGGGGCTCGTAAACCATGATTCCAGTATCTCGTGGCTCATACGATTCTCACCTCTCGCGAGATGTTCGACCTCAGTAAACTTGAATATATGGCCGGGTCTCATCGAATGAGTCGGGACTTGAGAATTCGTGTCATTTCTCTACACTGTTGCCACGTGTTCGGCAGTTCACGTCCGGAGAAGTCCTCCAATTTCTCTGCAACCGTAGAGGAGCCAATAGACAACTTTAGATGTTTCTTGACGTGGTCTCTTGGTTTCATTACCTAACGCCATTATGGTTGCCTCCGTCCTGTGTGCGATTACAACTGCAAGTGGTACGAGAGGGCGGCCAATGGCCTTCGAGGCGTTTTTTGGCGTAGAGGATCGCTCAGTTAAATTTGGGGTCGGTCGAGGAACCTTCGATCATACAACTCGCACGGAGCAATTGTCACCCAGAGGACTGCTGGTCATATCGAGCCGCGAAACCGCTAAAATGTATATGATTATAAACATGCTACTTATTTGATTCCAATAGACCTTATATTTACATTAAAGTAAGCCCCTGGTAAGATTGCGTGGCGGAAATGCAGTGAGCGTGTTCCACGCGGCTATTTCGCAAACGCCTCATCTTTTCAACTATTCATGTTTTTTAATATTTTTATGCATTTTCGCATAGCAAGCGACCTGCAACACTTTGTTGCATACTTACTACGCTTTATGCATTCCTGAACCGTTTCAATGGACTGTTTAAGTGTTTCCGCCATTTACGACAAATAAGGGTATCCCAATAAGTGTATACACATTTTACATAGTTGTACAATTGGTTTTTATCGTAATTTTGTTATCTAAAAAATGAAAAAATATTTATAAGTACATTTTTATTGTTTTTTTCACTGAATGTTCTGAAAATGACGTATATTTGGACCATGACGCTGCTGACAACGCGAAGCAATGGTATCGCACACACCATGAAACAATTCCCTTGGTATTCGGGTGCATTCGTTTTCAATGGCTTCTCTCAATTCAGCCGATGTTGCAATAATCAAAATGCAGTGTAAAGCAATAAAATGATACTTGTATTTT